TTGTTTTAAAAGTTTTGTCCGTTTTAATGTAATGGGTCTTTGTAGCTCCATATCTAAATAAATATTCATTCTTGATTGATTTGACCGACACTTGATGAATTTCCATAAGTATAAAGAATAAAATGAAAAAACACTTTTTTTCAAATATTCACAATTTATTACTACTTGTAATATGTGATTGTAATATACGTTTTGATTTCTCAAACAAAAATGGTATTCAGTAAATGTACAGACATATTTACAGTAGTTTTAAATTAGGTAAATAAAATGAGGTAATAATTATCAATGGGGAGCCTAATAATGAACAGGTAGTTTGCTTAATATAGGAAATCACTTCAGAGTAATATCACAAAGGCGCCCTTAGTTATATCACACACAAAGCACCTAGAATTTCGAAGTAATGAGACTACCCTTACCAGAACTCTAGTACAAAAGAATTGAAATAATATTGTGGCTACAAAAATTGCCGTTCTGGGATATTTTGTTGAGAACTCTATACGAGATCTTGCTGAGGACTCTATCTTATGGTACAGTCACGGCGGTCTTTTCTACTTTGGTACAGTGCAGATAATTACGAAAGCAAATTTTTTGTTATTGGTATATCAATCACTGTTGACAGAATGTGAATAATTTTCATAATGTTTTATCATCCGAAAACTCCAACTTTTGTTAAGCTAGAACAGCGCAAAAACATTATTACTGGTCGACAGCAAATATTTTGTCAATACATCCGTAATGTCCCCAGATACGTTTCGGTATTGATATTTGGTACAGAACAATTTGGATAAAACATAGTGTAAGATTAATAGAATGCATGACTTTTTTTTGAATAATTTCCTGGAAGAACTTGACCTTACAAAAAACACATTGACTCGTAACTGTAGAAGGACGCATCTTTTGGTAGCATTGTTCCAGGAAAACGACAGATAGGAGGAATGTAGGCCCACTCTAAAGGCCTACCGGGCCTATCTCTGGACTTTTTTGGGGTTCTGGTTATTTGAGGAATGAAATTTGTAAGTAATGTACTAATATGTCCACCTTTCAGCAGAAAATATGGAACAAATAAATTAATGGATGTAGCCGTTAGGTACTACGTGATTATCATGAAAAATGAGAAATAAGTAACTAACGTTACTGCAGTTTCGTCCGTCCTATAAGGACATTTTCAAAGGAATACAATAAATTGAAATAATTGACAATGTCAATCCTTATATATCTACCAATGTAGGTGATGACCGACGGTCTTCAATGGCTTTATTGCCTAAATTTTGTTTATCTGTGACAATATAGGTACGCTAATTTGAGAACCGGCGAATAGTCAAGGTCAATTTGGTCATTTAGTAGGTTACATCTAAGGAATCCAAATAACTTGTTTCCAACCCTTGCCTGCATACTGTAACATTTCCGTCCGTGTTTCTGTATCATTTATATTTCGGAACTTGAAGTTTGCATTCCAAGGAATGGTTTGAAAACGTCGAATCATTTTCACCTAGTCTGAAGAACCTTTCATGTTTGGCTTACCGTTTTGAGAAATGTCTGCCACATTGTCCCACATAAACACTATTTCACTCCGGGCAATTAATAAAAAAATCTGGAGTTAAAAAGCTTATGTCTCCGGAATGTAATAGTGTTTATGTGGGATAATGTGGCTGAAATTCCTCAAAACGGTATGCCGAACACGAAGGTCCTTCAGATTAAGTAAATATGATTCCACGTTTTTAAACCATCTCTTGAAATGCAATAAGTTTCCGAATCTAAACGATACGGAAAGTTTGCATTAGGCAGACAAAAGTTGGAAACTCAATTACTTGGAATCCTTTGAAATTCATAAGCTTAAGTACTGCGGATGTAACCCACCAACTTTTGGTACAATGATTTTCAGGAAAAATAAAAAAACACGACAACAATAGTATACAGGAGGACACATTTGCATTTGATGTTACTTCTCCTATCGCATCCCTAGAGCATGTCACGAATTTTTTTGAACAGATCACCCTATATTGTTTCGCATTATCAGGTGTTCCATAGTGTTGAAC